CCAGCGCCCCCTAACTCCTCTGCCTCCCCGCAGGCCAGCCCCAGCCCCAGCCCTGTGGGCTACAGCCCCATGACGCCAGGAGCTCCTTCTCCAGGGGGCTACAACCCTCACACCCCTGGCTCAGGCATTGAGCAGAACTGCAGTGACTGGGTCACCACTGACATCCAGGTCAAAGTCCGAGATACCTACGTGGACAGCCAGGTGGTGGGCCTAACTCCTCTGCCTCCCCGCAGGCCAGCCCCAGCCCCAGCCCTGTGGGCTACAGCCCCATGACGCCAGGAGCTCCTTCTCCAGGGGGCTACAACCCTCACACCCCTGGCTCAGGCATTGAGCAGAACTGCAGTGACTGGGTCACCACTGACATCCAGGTCAAAGTCCGAGATACCTACGTGGACAGCCAGGTGGTGGGGCAGACCGGAGTCATCCGCAGCGTGACGGTGCGTAGAGGAGAGAGCGCTGCCAGCTGGCAGCTAGGCCGGGGAGCACCCTGATGGGGCATAAGGGAGGGTCTGACAAGGGCAATTACTAAGGAAAGGCATGAAATAATTAGGGGTGAAATGGATGAAAGGTGGAAACACTCAGTAGACACCAAGGAAAGGATCCTGACAGCGAGATTAATGCGCCGTGGAATTGTTCCAGGGCAGCCCCTGGCTCCCCTTTCATTGGGACGAGGAAAAGCCCAGGAGAATACGGCTGTGGGGAACAGCCCTGCCAGGAGGAGCGGGTTAGAAGGAATTATGCCGGCCAGTGCCGCTTCTGAATTGGCCACCTGATCTAATCTGGGTGTTGTAGCTTTGAGGGCTGGCTCATAGGGGCATGGGGAAAACCCATCAAAGTTAGACAACTTTGTGCCTACATGCACAGCCATGTTGGGTCTGGCATCGGCCCTCCCCCTGCATACCTAAGGTACACGAGAACGGCCGCGCTGGGTCAGACTGATGATCCATCTAGCCCAGCGTCCTGTCTGCTGACAGTGGCCATTGCCAGGTGCCCCAGAGGGAATGAATGGAATGTGGCTGTGCATGTTTGTCCCTGGCCTCTTTGTCAGAGGCTACAGAGGGATGGCAAGAGACAAATCGCTTGATCATTGTCTTCGGTCCACCCTCTCTGGGGCACCTGGTGCTGGCCACTGTCAGCAGACAGGATACTGGGCTAGATGGACCTTTGGTCTGACCCAGTACGGCCGTTCTTATGTTATGTAAGAGACGCATCCCCTGCTGCTCACTCAGAACAGGTGTGAACAGACTTGTGCAGGACAGTTTGGGGAGTGGGGGCGGGAGACACCAGTGATGCCAAGATGTGCAGTGAATAACCAGACACATACAAGGCCAGTAGGGGAGGGGGAACAAAGGGGAAGGGGAGCACACTGAGTGGCAAGCATGCAGGCCAAGGCAGTCGAGAAGCCACAGAGGAGAAGGCTCCTGTAGTCCCCTTTCTGACACACCTGAGAGCAGGTAACAGTGGGGTTTCTGTGCTAGCTGCCTGGGCGTGTACGTGGGTGGCTGCCCCTTGCGATTACTGTGCTTCTGGGTACACCCCGCTGTTGTTCACTCCTGTGAGCTGAATGGAAGCTGACACAGGCAGCAAGCAGACCTTTACCTGTGGTGTTCAGGTAACGTAAGGTGTAGCCTACTAACCGTTTACCCAAAACTGATACTTATCAATTACTGGGTTGGTTACACTCAGCCGGCTCCCTGGGAGCTGGGCTGGCAGGGGCTGGCGGCTCCGCGCCTGGGGAGGTTTCGCTGTAGTCTCAGCAGAGTAAAGGATATTTAGGCTTTATGCTGCAGAGGCCTCAGCATGTCACTGTAACCTCTGAGATTTTCACTGGTTACACGGGTCCCTATTTAACCGAATTATAACGTCCCTACAGGGAACAGGGCTTCTTGAGATCAGTTGGACTCTTCCTCGAATTCTGGGGGGCTTGCACGAGGGGGCAGGGGGGAAGGAGAGCTGAATTCTCGGGTTTGCTTTTGAGCTCAGCTGTGCCGGCAAAAATTAATCAATGTAAATTATTTAAAATAAAGGTTGCTAAGTAATTATATTTGTAATAATCTAAAGTTCTGCTTAGTAATATGGACAGTGTTGGGAGTATTCAATATGATTCTACCCACCCCCCTCCCCCGGGGACAGCCACCACCAGCTTGGTGATGGATGGGCCAGGCACCCCTGAGACAAAGAAAGGCTAAGGGGGGCCCAGAGGTTGGGGGGCTCCCCCAGTGGCATAGTGGATAAGGCACCTGACCAGGTTGTCCTCTCTCGTCAGGGCGGAATGTGCTCAGTTTACCTGAAGGACAGCGAGAAGGTGGTCAGCATTTCAAGTGAGCACCTGGAACCTGTCATACCGACCAAAAACAATAAGGTACGTTAACCCGGACCCATCTGGCAGCGCCAATCGAATAGCATAGCTGGCTTCTCCAGGGGCTGGCTTATGCTGACCTGCATGGAATCTGATTCTGGGTGAATCTGTTGGATCTTGGCTGAGAGTGACTTAGTGTGGAACTGTCTAAGGGCTAGTCCATTGCAGTAGGTGCTGTATAAACAGGGTGGGCCGTGGCCATGCTCCTAGATAGTTAGGGTACAAGGTCAGCATTGCTAGGGCGGGAATTGTCCCTTGCTTGGTAATACATCTCAAGAAAAAATCCCCATTCAAGCAGCATTCTGTCATCCCTCGCTCTTACCTAGTGCTGCCAGGACGAGGGATGTTAAATATCGGTTGATTGAACTTCATGACTTCTTATCAGTTACTCAACTATTCGATAGTCCCTGGGGGTGGGGCCGGCAGCCAGTGCAATCCGGCCCCGCTCCCAAGGAGCCCCCTGTCACTCCACACTGCTTCCTCTCTATAAGGGATAGCAGACGGGAGCTGGTCTATGAGCGGAACCAGTTTAAAAACCAGCTCCTTTCGTGGACCGGCTGCCTGTTGCCCTGCAGTGTCGCCTCGGATACAGAGGCAGCATTGCGGGGTGGCAGCAGCCCCTGTCCGGAGGGGTGCCTGAGCTCCCAGACCCGGTGCAAGCCAGGCTCATAAGCATTTGCTTATTGGACAGTCGACTAGTCGTTCACATCCCTAGGGAGCAGGTGACTCTTTGCTCCTACCCTCCCAGAGAGAACCACCCAGAGGGAACAGCTGGTGGTTCCCTCTCGGTACCTGTGCCCCTGGCGATGGGAGGAGACTGCGTGCTCCCCCCTACCCTCAGGTCAATCAGAGCCTGGGGGCAAGGGGAGCACATGAAGTCTGCCCCCACCCTGCAAGGGCGCACCGCGCTTAGTCACCCGCCAGCTGAGCCCCTTGTAGGGCAGGAGGAGACTTTGCACGCTCCCCTCACCCCTAAGCCCTGATTGGCCTGGGGACAGGGGAAGCACGAAGTCTCTCACTCCTTGCTCTCTAGTGTGCGGCACACTCCCCTGTCCCTAGGCCCTTATTGGCAGAGCCGTTTGGTGGGCCGGATCCAGCCTGCGGAGGCCCTTTTCCCCACCCTGCTCCTATTGCCCTTCATAATGCAGAACATCCTTGGTCCGGAAGATTCCATAATTTGGCATAGCCTGTCTCCCAAGGTTGCCAGATTAAAGAGGTTCAAATGTAACCCCCATTTTTACGTAGCTTTGGCTCCTGATGTGCTGGCCTGCATCCTGGGGGTTATGAAGATAAATATGCTAAAGATTGTGGGGAAGTCAAATGAGGCTCAATGACCCTCTGCAGCCAGTTCTGCGCCCCTTCCACCGCACTGCAGACACAGTCAGTCTAGCCCAGGGTTTCCCTGCCTGTGGGTCGGGACCCAAATATGGGTCACCATTACATTTCAAAAGGGTCGCCAAGTGTCTCCCCAGGTGCCTTTGCCCTCCCCCTTCCCCCATTTTTGAATTGCCTTGGGTCACCAAGTCTCCCTGAATTGTCAAAATGGGTCCCCATCTGGAAACGGTTGGGAACCGCTGGTAGCAGGGCCCTAATCCCTTGCTGCTCAAGCTCCTGTGCTTTGCATTCTCCAGGTGAAGGTGATCCTGGGGGAGGACCGGGAGGCGACGGGCGTCCTCTTGAGTATCGACGGAGAGGACGGCATTGTCCGCATGGACCTGGAGGAGCAGCTCAAGATCCTGAACTTGCGGTTCCTGGGCAAGCTGCTGGAGCCATAGGGCTGGCGGCCTTTTTAGCAGTTGACCAGAGAATGGCTCAACGTGTCCTTGTACAGAGTTTGGGGGAGGAGGGAGGCTGCTGCTTTTTGTTTTCTTTCCAAACCAGCCAGTGGTCGTGGGGAGGGAGGTGTTTTTATTTGTAATGCTGCAGTTAGGTCTCATGAGCAAATTGGGACTGGAGTAGGAAAACCAGTGTGCACGCGCGTGGGGGAGGGCAGGGGGAGAGGCGAGGGTTGTCCCGTTGCACTGAACGCGCTTCATCTCCTTCTCGCAAAGGAAACCTACTTGCTGTGCCTGTGTTTCAATAAAATCCATCTGTTCTATGCTCCCTGCATTTGCTTAGTCTGTATCACTGGATGTCTCCTAGGAACCAGAGGAAGGAGTCAAACGCAGCCAGTCCGGTACGATGGAAAAGAATGGAACAACTGGGTCTGGTCTGAGTTTCACTTTCTTCTCTTTGCCTCGTTGTTTATTTCAAAGAGTAATCTAAAATCCAAAGAGCTGGGAAGGAAAGCAAGTTGTTGTAGGGATAGAACTGGTTAAAGGATATTTAGGTAAGTTCTATATATGCAAGTAGGCCAGGCCTAATGAAATTGATCCTGGGGTATATAAAGAACTAACTGAAGCAATCTTGTAACCATTAGCAATAATGCTCAAGGACTAAAGGAAGAGTTGGAGTTTCAGGGCACTAGAGAATGGTAAATAAAAACGGGGAACAAAGAGGACCTGAGGAATTTGTAGACCAGTCAGCCTGTCTTTGATACCTGGAAACATAGTGGAACCAATTAAAACAACCATCATTTTGAAAGCATGCAGAGCTGTGGTGATCAGCCAGTTCTGAAGCAGTAGCCACTAGCAGACTAGCTACATTCAGCCAGCCAAACAGCCACATACAGCTAGTGGCTAGTGTGTTGGACACCACAGTGATAACAAGGAACGGCCAGCCTGGCTTTTCAGGAACAATCGTTTCCTTCTTCGACAGGGTTATTGGCCTAGTGGCTATGGGGGAAGTTGTAGATGCTTAATTTGATGGAGGCTTTTGACATTTTCAGCAAATGGAATCTAGATTAAATCACCTTATGGTGGGTGCACACATTTTTTACAAACCCATGTGACCTACTCAAAGTACAGTTGTACTTTGAGTAGGTCGCAAGGGTTTGTAAAAAAATGTGTGGATTTTGTTGGGATCAATCTTGTTCTAGTTCTATTCCCTATTTGTAATGGGGGGGATAATAGAGGGCCAAGGATGCTTATAAAATTTGCACCTGACACCAAGCTGGGAGGGGTTGCTAGCACTTTAGCAGTCAGGATTAGAATTTAAAACCTGACAATTTGGAGAATTGATCTGAAACCAACACAAGAAAATTCAATAAAGACAAGTGCAAAGTATTTCACCTAGGAAGGAAAAATGAAATGCAAAATGGGAAAGAACTGGCTAGATGGTCATGCTGCAGAACAGTCGCTGGGGTGTTATAGGGGATCACAAATTGAATGAGTGGTCAGTGGGGTATGGTTGCGTGTTTTGAAAAAATCCCCTTCTATCATTCCAGGGTGTATTAGCAGAAGTGTCATATGTAAACAGGAGGGTAATGAATCCTGCTATACGTGGTACTGGTGTGATCTCAGCTGAAGTGTAGAGTCTAAGGGTATGTCTACACTACAGCGCTAATTCGAACTAACTAAGCTAATTCGAATTAGCGCAGCTAGACTTAAAAACTAGTTCGAATTAGTGTTTTGCTAATTCGAACTAGCATGTCCACACAGAGTGGACCCTGAACTGGGGTTAAGGATGGCCGGAAGCAGTGCCGGCAGGGCATCAGAGGAGGACTTAGAGCGTGGAGATGCTGTCTCAGGCTTAGCCAAGGGCTGTGCTTAAAGAGTCCCGACCCCCACCCTGGACAGACAGTTCTCAGGGGGTTACCCGCTTGCAAAGCAGTCCTGGCTTGGAGTGCCCTGAGTGCCCACACTGGGCACATCACAGCACTCGGCCATCAGCCCGGCTGCACTTGCCGCAGGCTGCCATTCAGGAAGGAGCGTGGAGATGCTGTCTCAGGCTTAGCCAAGGGCTGTGCTTAAAGAGTCCCGACCCCCACCCTGGACAGACAGTTCTCAGGGGGTTACCCGCTTGCAAAGCAGTCCTGGCTTGGAGTGCCCTGAGTGCCCACACTGGGCACATCACAGCACTCGGCCATCAGCCCGGCTGCACTTGCCGCAGGCTGCCATTCAGGAAGAGGGGTCAGTCGGGGGGCTGCAGGAGAGTTTCCACCCCGAGGAGCCCGCAGAGCCACCCCAGTCCTCCCCACTGGGGGCTCGTACCCCATTCCTCCCTCACCTCCTTCCACTTACCCCTCCCTAGCCCCCCTTCCTGATGTACAAAATAAAGAAAACGTGTTCAAAAATAGAATTTCTTTATTGAACAAAACTGGGGAAACTGGGAAAAGGAGGTGGGAGAGGGGAAGAGAGAGGCTGGGAGAGGGGAGGGCAACTAAAATGATCAGGGGTTGGGAACAGGTCCCATATGAAGAGAGGCTAAAGAGACTGGGACTTTTCAGCTTAGAAAAGAGGAGACAGA